CTGGAAGTCAATGGGGGAGGCCTATGTTCAGCAGTGGACGTCCTGTGGCTGATATGATGATGATGATGATATGAACCCTGGCCACAGCCCAGAGCAGGAGAAGGAACTGGTGGTTTTCAGTCAATAAGAGTCTGATACTCTCGCACCATCAGGACGGTAAAGGTCATTCGATAATGTTCCCCACAAAAAAAAAAACAATTCTGAACCTATCACTCACAATAATATCTGAACGACACACAAAAAGCCTAGCACGAACTGAAAACACTAAAATGAACATAAAACACGCAACAGGACGTAAATATAATAAATCAAATTAATAACAACAAAAGATAACACAGGTCTTTTTTTTCAAACTGTTCCCATTTCGTAAGAATATTTGGGTCGACGCCGACGCCATCGTTGTTAGTGTAAACAGAGCTTATCTTACAAGTTACTGCGTTTAGATACCGTTTGCACCTGAATATTTAACCAGACTGATCGACGACGCTTAGAAAATAGAGGCTTATTAACAAATAATTACTCTACACTTGCTACAACTAACATTTTAATCTTAATAATCTACATAACAACTTCATTACGCTCTACTAGGCGCGTCCACGTTGAGATAAAATCAAAAACTTTTATCTAAGATTTATTATAATATAATTTATCGTCTTGTCAAATTTCATCTAAATTGATCCATTCGTTTTTGAGAAAGTTACAAATAAACACTTCTATCGCATTTTAGCTGTTGAGGGATAGTACCTTAGGTTCTTCAACTTGGTCTTGACAATCATACAGGTTGGCTACCCCATCATCTGTCAGTCCATATACAGTGTTCTCGTCCGGTCTTTATGACCGAGCAATAATGCTCATGCGCTAGATGTGAGATGTATCGATATTGCTTGCACATAACGGGTTAACTGACAGAAGCCTGTTGAATTTATCATGAACGTGTGTATAGTTACGGTGACTGGCTGTCTTTAGCCTATAATGGAAATAAATGAACACCATAGTTCTATGTTCAAAATTGATGATATTGAGAAGCAGTTTATTCGTCAGCGTTTTGTTTGTTTTGAAGGCTTGTCCAATCATGATGACGGAGATATTACAAAAGTAGAAAAAGACTGGAAAATAACGGCAACTATGAAAAAGTATTGAGTAACAGATAGTTGAATGACTAAATAAAAACGCTCAAGCTAGCTGGCATAAAAATATTCATAAGACGGAATTTAGAATCAAATCATGCGCAGCTTGTTCAAACAGTCTATCCGGGGGAGATGTTTGTTTGCCTTGCATCGCCCCCGGGCACGAGGGGGCGCTGTGCGAGCGAACACGACGAGTATACTTCAAGATTCCCTTTACAAACGAACAAAACATTTTATACAGCTGCAGAAAAACAAAACGTTACATGACATCGCCATCACTGTCAAATAAATGTTATTTTACATTTTGAATTTCGAATAATAAAGTGCCAGTGTTAAACAAAAAAGAAAATCTTACGAACTTTTTTCTTTAAGACGGTAATGCATATTGAATGTTGGCACATGAACACACCCAAACATCCTAATTTAATGGACGACGTGTATGATAATGGAGCAATTGACGTTGAAGAATGTCCGGACAATGATTGATGTGGTTATTCATAAAAAGGTATCGATTGGACTAACATTTTTCTATATTATTCAATTTGTGTAACCAATTCCACAGACCATGACATCAAAATAGTTCTTGAAATTAGAATGTCTGCTAATGCATCTGTTTGTTTCGTAAGAGATGAATACTTATGCCTAATCAGTAATCAGATATTAGAAACAATTCAGATACAACAGATGAGTTGATTGTAAGAATTGAGGTTAACATAAACGGTACATTCTAACAATTCAACCTTGGAAATGCCAATTAAGAAAAAGAACGCAAAAAGATGCTCCAACATTAAAATAAAGTTATTAAAAATCGCTACAGTAACCGAAAATACACACTATATACATAGTAAGGTACAGAAACCTCATTAAACAGAACCTCGAAAGTAATCAAAAGAAATTGAATAAATGAATAACAAATAAAAAGCAATAAAGGATCTTGGAACGTTACCAAATCCACTGCATCTAATTCATACGACCACAATGGCGTCCCTAACTAAAAAACTCATATTTCCGTGATGATCACAGTAAACATTAGTTTCAGAGCTGTGGTGACTCACATTATCGTCGATAGACATGTCGCCCCCATAGTTAGGGGGCTGTTCATCTTATTTTGTGGCTTAAAGTACAAGAGAAAGCGTTATCCAGTTAAATTTTTAGTCAGAAATTTGTTCTTACCTATTATCTAACTTAACTTACGTACAATCTAAACTAATACTATAAATGCGAAAGTAACTCTGTCTATCTGTCTGTCTGTCTTTTCACGCCTAAACTGCTGTAACTATTTGTGTGAAATTTGGTGCAGACATAGTTTGGTAACTCGAGAAACGACGAAGGATAGTATTTTAACCAAAAATCTGCAGGAAGGCACTATTCCACGCGAACAAAATCGCGGACAAAATCTAGTGTTCGATAAAAATCTTCAAAAGCTAAAATGTTTTATAAATATAAAATACTTTTATCCTTTTTCAAAACTTATGTCCGAACCAAATGTCCGTTCTTATTCAACTGCAGCTAGCCTTGTAGAAAACATTATAGCAGTTATTCTGTTGAGTTTTCTATCACAAAAAAAAACAGTAAAAATATTTGCTACTGTTTGTGTTATTTCCCAAATAACTAAATATTTACGAGTTTGTTGTATTTTATCAAAATCTTCAAGGTTAAATAGTAGATTAGTGGATCTTGTTTATATACAAAATATTTATTAGTATCTAGTTCAGTCTGTCCTTGCGACTGAGCTGGGATTTAGTTCATTGTATATTTCGTAACGTTTATGATCGGTCGTAATGTTTAATGATAGAATTAATGACAGTTCCAATCTTCCCACATCTTCTCATTCGCAGAATTTCTGAGTTCATTGCAGTCTTAATTGTTTTCTCTGTTAATTGTTTTCAGTTTTGGATTATTTCGTTGTGTAGCATTGACATCAAATTTTAGACATTGTCATTGGCTGGTGAAATTTCTTCACGTTCATTTGTTACATTTTGTTTTTTATAATTTTTTCATTAAAATCACGTCCTTCAATCTCATTCCCGCTATCTTCAATAAATTACACCACACCCTTCAAAAACACTATTCCCTTATCAAGTATTCAGTATCCAATCTTAACACCAGACAACAAGGTTTATATTACATTGTCTTTGTAACTATGTAAATCAGTAATTTGGGCTTATCCCGTCTCAGCTGAGGTAAGCACGATCGGAATGAGGTATTAACATTGATTTAGTTATTCAATAGGCATTGTATTTATTTATTAAGTCCTTTACAGACGTCACGTGATTAGATAGAAAATTACCCCTTGTCATAATAAAAGAAGATTAAAAATAGAGGTCCTATTAGATTGATTAAAAAAATAGATTGTGTGTGTCGAATGTTCAAATCTATCTAACTTGTCTGCTATGTTAGTATTGTCGAAAGACCAAAATTTGACGTTAATTTCTTATTTTGCATTGAATAAGTCCTAAAATAGCGATCAATGTTATGCTATTTTCAGAAAAACACTTCAAATTATTAAACACTACTAAATAAATAACCATAAAACAAAATGACATCATCTTATACATAATTATATACTTCGCAAAAATGACAGTAAAAGCACCACGAGCACCCATCACAATTTGCCATTCTAATCATGACAATAATGTGTCTGCACTTAAAGTCTTGCAAAACGAAGACAAGACATTTATATTTCCGAAACAGCACAACATTATGGCTTGCCGAACAAAGTCAGTGGGACCATAAAATGCTAAATAAATGAGGGTAAAGGTTACTTGTGAAAATACTTCAATTTCCACACCAATTCTCTTTACGAGGTGATAAAATTTCACACAAAATCTGTCTCGGAACATCGTCGAAGTAACAGGTTGCTAGCTGTAGACCATTTTCCCATTTTTGCTCAGCGAGCGATAAAACACTTTGACCACCATCCATAGCTTCTTCGGTTTGAAGGAGCTCAAATAAAGGTGAAACGAAAGCAGTAGTGGACGCAGTTCATTAATGCCGAACGTGTCTATCTGAGTAGAATTTTAAAGCAGTTTTCTAAGGCGGATGACTCCGTTAATTGGCTCTTTGAGTTAATTACAACTGAGAGTGATGCGAAAAGTTTATCAGATTTCTTGAAACAGATTTAAAATGGAATTCGAGGTGTCATTTGCAAAAATGGAAAAGATGTTTTTCTAACCTAAAAATCTTCGCTCAGTTGAGTAAACATAGTAATAGCAAAAAAGCTATTACAGTTCGTTAATCCTTGCGTGAGTGTTTCTCAAAATATATTGATTTTTGTAGGAATCAAAGAAAACAGGGCTGGCACCCTCGTCGGCCCAGTAATGCAATAACGTCGGTACTCGGATGTTTAAATTTATTTGCACCCCTCACTTCGATCCCCTTTGGAAGCACCCCATTCGGCCGTCTAGTTGACAATTATTAACTTTTCCTGATCGAAACTGCGGGATGTCATTGGCACTTGCTAGACGAGACGAAATTCATTCTGGATAATTTTTAGAAGGACTTAGTTCATTACGACAAGTTACGACAAGTCTTTATAGATAGTAATTAAATACTGCACATTTTTGCAGATTCCTAATCTGAAGAAATGTGCATCCTTTACTTTACTCTCTCTTCATTGCTGTAAATCCCTTTTCAGATTTTATATACATATCATACGAATAATTCTCAAAGTTACAGGGAGCAGTAGTAGCAATCACAAGTTGCCAGTCTTTTAGGGACAAAGGTTTTTGGGAATAGAGGGGAAGTATTGGACCTCCCGTACTCTCAATCACATGGCAGACACAAAACAAGAGTCGTTTCACGCCAGCCTTTAAACACGCCATATCTTTCTCTGTCTGTTTATACTAACATTGTATTTTCTCTTGTTAACAGATGCAGATCAGCTATGCACGAATCGCGGGTGTTGTGGCGCGGGCGCACGGACGCGACTCACGCAGGCTGCGCGCACGCAGCTCGAGTCTGCGCTGTGGAGCGAACTCAGCAAATTAGCTGACACACTCACAAACAGAGCTATCAAATTTGATGGTAAGTACTGAAAAACTCTTAACATGTAAAAAATATTCGCCTGTAAAAAGGTTACTTGTAACTAAATGAAACCGGTGGAGACGGATCATCCGCTCTAGATGTTACCCCGAAGCTGACCACAACCCTCACACACAGAGGACCGACTATAAGAAGTAACCAAGTAGTTACACAAATGTTATTTTTTGTCGATTAGGAAATTAATATAAATTAACCTATTAGGGTCTATAACTAATATTCAACCAATTTGTGATTTAGGAATATGTTCCTAATATTATATACAATCTTCTTTCTCACCATCCTAAAAGTTACGTGGGTTACGGAAATATGTCTTTATCCATTCATCCAGTCCCTTTCATAACACGCTTCTCTCAATCAACCAATGTGTTCTTTACCTTTTCCCTCTATATTTCCAAATAAGCCGTGAAAACAAATGACCCCTACCTAAAGGTACAGTAACAGTACTAATCGATGGCGCAGTGTCAAAGCGAATTTGTTCACATTATATTAATTGTTTGGCTTCCATTTCTAATTGAAAATGAAAGATCAAAGTGCGCAGCGGTACCTTAGCCAATTTATTCCACACATTACTCTGAACTTAAAACGGCAACAAATAAGGAAATAACTAAGTAAAATAAAGTGTGAAATTTAATTAAAATTCCACAAATACTTGGCATCGTAGACGGGAATTAAAGGCTGAGGTACAATAGCTTGTAGGTAATGTAAGGTTGGTACTTGGTACTCGCAACCGCAATAGACCTCGAAGCGAACACTGGGTACTGTAATACGTATGAATAGATAGATATACTATAGAGCTAAGTCTAGATCTATTGTTGTTGCAAATTCAATCACTAAGTTTATCTTGTTTGAGCTGCTATCGTTCACTAGTCTTCGACTTTTGTTTTTCTTTGTAATTCTAGAAAAACGGAACGTACATAGCCTGCAAGCTTTCTTTCTCTTTCTCTCTCTCTATCTGTCTTTGTTATCTCGATCTGTCACTATTACAAACGCTTTTCTTAAGACACAGGAACGCGATCATTGTCAATTATTATTATAGTTTAGTATTAGTAAAGTTGCTACCAATTGGGTATTGAATTAAAGCAAGATCCCTAATTCTCTTTATACTTGTAAACCAGTTCTAAGTGAAATAATCCTCAAAATCATAGCACGTGCTTGCAAAGCAATGTCGTTGTTACCCTTTGAGTCGTCACGAGACAATTTCCAACATCATGTGTCCCGACCTTAATAGCCGCGTCCGGCGCCGGCGCAGTTGGCAGTTGCATCAGAACGGGACCACAACCCGCTTGTCCAAACATGGCGATCACACTTGAAAGTGGACTCGCCACGAAGTGAGCAAGCAACCGACCGATTGCCGGACAAAAATGATCGCAGATATTACGCGACACCGAGAGAAGCGAAAACGGTCAATTTGGGATCCGATAATGAATTTGGAAATCGGTTTTCAGTTTATGGAGATCCAGATAAGAGAATGCTCAGAACTATAAGGAAATCCATTCATTTCTGCATTGATTCCCAGGAACGAAATTCTGATGTATTCAAAGATTTTCTTTATAATGGTTGTAATGGTGTAAATCCATATGGTCGTAATGACAAAAAATTAAAACAAATTGGTCAAATCTAATAATGATAATGAAGACGCTTTCAGATTAAATTTAAGCAATGGGCAAGTTAAGTAACTTTCCTTTCTATCGTTTTAAAATCATTTTAGCTTGCTACCATAGACTTAAAATAACATAAGTAGAATTAAAACTTCACGAAAAGAAACACACAGCAACGTAAACGAAAATGCCAAAACCTTATTTATTGAAGTAAAAACTAGTTGACAACATTTGTAATTTAGAGTTGACCACAATTCTGTACTAGCTCTTGGAGTTAGCCAAAGCTCTAAGTCTTTACAAAGTACATACCTAGATTGTAAACCCACACTGGTCGAAGAAAGTTTACTTGTGGTTTCAATTCCATCATGTTTAAACAAACCAAATGTTCTTTGAGAAAATTTAACGACGCCGACTAAAAAGACAAAATGGACGACTCGACGTGAATCTGTTTGTTTCTTGTTCAATACGCACTTGGGAGTCAGGAAACCGTTTATTGAAATCTTTAATGTAAATGGTTGAGTCCTAAGTACCTATCTAGTTATGCAAACAGGTGATAGTTTCTAAGCCTCCTTGTTTTAGTTGACAAAGATCCGATTGAAAGACACAATGTTCTTTGAAAAATGACACCTAATGAGAACCATAAAAGTAAATAAGGATACATAGAGCTCATAGACCGGTAATTAAGTAGTCAGAATCCAAATAATACAACTTACTAACTGAGATATCTCTAAAAGTAAACAAGAAACATTGTTTAATGACAACAAAACATATCTAACACCGCCGCAAGAAACCTCGTGTTTACAAGCCCGGTAATATGAATAAATGTTTACTGTACATTTGTCCGTCACACTGTGAGTCCAACATGGTACCTACATTCGTAATTACGGTGTCCGGTCGTCCGCCGCCAGTAACCGACCAGATCAATATTGACACTGCCACTTTCCAACATTCATTCAAGGGACCAGTGTTTCAATCACACGAGAACTGTTGATTATTGATAATTTGTACATAAAGTGAACAGCGCTTTTAATTTACTCGAGAATGTCGGTGACGCCGACATTTTTTTCCAAGATCGAGTCACGACCTCACACTTTTTATGTATAATTGAACGTTCAAACGAGTAAATTGATATGTTTATTTCATATCGGTGGTTTTATGTTGTCATAACATTAAATGAATATGCCGCCATATTGTAAACTTGACATTTCTTTATAAAAAGTTGCCAGCGCGGAAAATCTTATAATAAAGTGTTACTTTTACGAAAAATACATTATCCTTTTTCAGGTGAGAAAGGTCATATCTCTTCTAACAGTGTGAAACGCTTTCACCAGACTGACCTTATTCCCTTGGGTTATTTCTAAAGCCTTGTGTGGGAAGATAAGCGGCTTACACAATCTATTTCTTTTTTATTCTCTGATCAGTATAGGAAGCCATGGTTTTAACGCACGATTACTATAAAAATGCGCAAAAATGTTGCATGCTGCACAAATAAACTAGGTTGAAAGCAACAAAATATTTTCTAGCGTAACTTTTAAAAATAAAAAGGAACGAATTTACTCGCCAAAATTATTCGAAAGAAAGCTATAAAGTTTTATAATAACAGAATTTAATGTTTTGTGAGAACAAAAGATGTTATAAGCTTCAGCTCGAGCAATACTTGAGTGTTATCGTAACAGCAAATGGCAACCACAAGACTAAACATTGCCCCTACAATGAGTAATAAGTCGACAATCGATGGAGTTAGGACGCAGATGAATCACTGCGCTCCTGGAGTTATTACTACTCGAACACGAATGTAGGACTTAGAACATTAAACATCCGTTTTTGTTTTAATAAACATTTTCTATGTTTAGCTAGGTCTCAATAATGCACTTCGTAATGGTCTTAAGTCTAGCATAGAATGGGATATTTCGTGACCACCGCAACGCGACAAATTTTGCCGCGTATGTTGTGGTTGCACTCGGCTTTATTTTAAGAGGTATAACAATAGTTTAAACAAATTAGGACCTAGATTTTTTTCAGTAGGATACGCAAAATGTCTCCGTACATGATCACATCAGAAAAGTACTCCAAGATCTTAGAACAGAAGCAGAAAATTTCTCAGAAATAATTCATGCGTCTCAAACAGTCTTAGTAGGGGTTCAGAAGTGTGAGTAAGTATTTTCTCGCGATAACCCGCCTCTGTTCGATGCTATTTATACCGCACTCGCCGTCTGTCGATGCTCTTAGCCGAACGATGATAGAACAAAGTGGTATTACGAAACGTACAGTGAATAATTGCATGTATCATGATGTATTACATATGGGCTAAGAAACTGGATCATGTTTTTATCGGGTATCGGAAAAATGCCGAGGAAACTCGATGAGTCGGTTAGGTACATACGTCGGAAAAATTTCGTGGTACAACGGATGCTTGTTATTTGTTTTGTTTTTGTTCTAAGTAGATATTTCTATAAACACTTCTAGCTCTAGTCGTGTAATAAGGTTCCGAGTATTAAATAATTGCTTCGGCAGAAATTAGTCTAGCGATGATGATGTGGGCTTTAATTCCTAGTAACGTTCTACTCTTGGGAGACAGGATTATCCTCTACGAAATTGCCAATAGTAGACTGGTGCATGCCGGTACCCAAAACGCTCACCCTTCACGTACAAATAAGCGTGAAGGTATGTAACTTAGAGGGAGAAATACTTTTAAATAATTCAACAACGACCTTGCTCTTTCGCTTCGTTTATTTTATTCATTTATTTTAGAAAATTCCACCGTTTTATCAGATAGGTAGGTGTATTTTTTCATCAATTATTAACGTTTCACCTTTTACCCGGCATCACGACCGCGTAATTACGTATAAGGGTGGGCATAATATCGATTCCTCAGTATAAATAGGAACACCATAATGGCAGCCCTAATTTCATGTTATTTGTATAGCCTCGTAATAGGAAACCGATTGATGTTATTGGAAAATGTTAGTACCTACTGATGTAATATTTTACATAAAACCCTAATTTTTCACCAAAAAGGTCGAGCGTATTGAAAAAGGTTGTAGGTTTGTTAGTATGGCCATTTTTTGCCCTTTATTTTGCTAAGGGCAGACAGGTATCCATTTTTATTCATTTCTCTTTAAGACTTTTAAGAATTATATACTTTAAATATATATATAAGGATACCATATTAGTTTTGTTATCTGTCAATCCTGTCATGTCAAAAAGATCGTTTTCATTTCTTCTTGCCATTCAAAAAAACTAAACATACCGTTTTAGAAATACATACTCACTTAACTAAAACGCGTTTATCGAACGGCTCCTATAAATATTAGAGAAACGAGAGCGCTAGACACAACGCAAATGACGAAGGTTCGTTCACATTTATCGACTTTATGACAATGG